GGCCTTCGAGGGGCAGCCTTCACCAAGCTGAGGCCACCCCATCTACCTCGGTCTGGTCAGGGCTGGGCTCCCCCGATCTCCAGAATCCAGGCGCCCAGCGTGGAATTCGGCTCCCCGCGAAGCCCTGGAGGCGATTTCAGGCCTCGCTCGTGAGTGGCGACATTTTCCAGGGTTCGTGACGCGCGGTGCCACATGTTTGAGCGTGCCTCTCCCTCTTGCCTTCCTCCGCGGCCGTTCTCTGTATGTTCCATCCTCCCCGGTGCACAATCCACGTTGTCGCGGCACGGCAAGTGCCCCAGAGGCTCGTGGTCCGCTCGTCGCTGCGTCAACAAGCTTCGGGGCGTCGTTTTCATTGCTCGGCTGCTGTCTCTTGGCCTCGGCGACATGTTGCTCTTACACGCAGCCTCTTTCGCTTTCGAACCCCCTGGCGGCTTCGTTCTGGGGTTCGAGACGGGCGCTGTTTCCAGGAGGCAAGTTTCCAGGGTTCGGATATCTGGCTCTGTGCCAATTGCGCACGTTTCTGTCCACACGCCCTGCCGGAAATCTGGCTCAGTGGCGGCAGTGGTGCCCAAGAACCGTACCAGGGCTGGCGCGTAGCTTCTGCATTGCACTGTATTAACTTTTTATATGCCAGTGCGCCGTGCGAGCGCCAGGCTTGACTGACTGCGGCCAACCCCACCACCGCCGGTGCAACAGCGTTGCAGGGCAGAGCTTGGATTAATGTCGCTTTGCGTATCCCCACCTGGAGTGTGCTTTAGGTTTGCTCGTTGCTAATTTGACAGGCCCGTGGCCCAGACCTCTCAGTTCGGCGACTGCGAATCCGCGTCCGCCCGCGACCAACAAATTACGCTACCGAGGAACCCCACATACTTTTTTAATTTCCCCTGTGTACCATCGGTGCATCTGCTGCTGCTCCTCCTCCTCCTCGGTGTCCTCCTCCTGCTGCTGTTTATGCTGCTGCTGCTGCTTCTGCTGCTGCTGCTGCTGCGTCTGCTGCTGCAGCTGCTGCTGCTGCTGCCGCTGCTGCTGCCCCACCTCCCCGTCCTCCTCCTCCTCCTCCTCCTCCTCCTCCTCCTCCTCCTCCTCCTCTTCCTCCTCCTCCTCCTCTACCTCCTCCTCCTACCTCCCAGCGCACCCCCTGTGGCGTCGAGGAAATGCCACGCCTGCCACGCCTTGGGAGCCTACAGCGCATAGGGCCCCCACCCCGAGCGCACCCCCTGTGGCGTCGAGGGAATGCCACGCCTGCCACGCCCTGGGAGCCTACAGCGCAAAGGACCCCCACCTCCCAGCGCACCCCCTCTGGCGTCGAGGGAATGCCACGCCCGCCACGCCCTGGGAGCCTACAGCGCCTATGGCCCCCACCCCCAGCGCACCCCCTTGTGGCGTCGAGGGAATGTCACGCCTGCCGCGCCCTGGGAGCCTACAGCGCATAGGGCCCCCACCCCCAGCGCACCCCCTGTGGCGTCGAGGGAATGCCACGCTTGCCACGCCCTGGGAGCCTACAGCGCATAGGCCCCCCACCTCCCAGCGCACCCCCTTGTGGCGTCGAGGGAATGCCACGCCTGCCACGCCCTGGGATCCCAGCGCATAAGGCCCCCACCCCCAGCGCCCCCCCTGTGGCGTCGAGGAAATACCACGCCTGCCCCGCCTCGGGATCCTACAACGCATAGGGCCCCCACCCCCAGCGCACCCCCTGTGGCGTCGAGGAAATGCCACGCCTGCCACGCCCTGGGAGCCTGCAGCGCATAGGACCCCCACCCCCAGCGCACCCCCTCTGGTGTCGAGGGAACGCCACGCCTGCCACGCTCAGGGAGCCTACAGCGCACTGGGCCCCCACCTCCAGCGCACCCGCTCTGGCGTCGAAGGAATGCCCTGTGTGCTATGCTGTGCTGTGCTGTGCTGTGCTGCTGTGCGGTGAGCTGTGCTGTGCCGTGCCGTGCCGTGCTGTGCCGTGCTGAGCTGAGTTGCGCTGGGCTGAGATGTGCTCAGCTGTGCCGTGCTGAGCTGAGCTGAGTTGAGCTGAGCTGAGCTGAGCTGAGCTGAGAAGGGGGAGGTGAGGAGACGCGGGTGCGCCGCGGCAGGGAAGAACACCAACACCCCACGAAACTTGTGGGGAGGAGAGGAAGAAGAGGGATGAGGTGAGACGCGGGTGCGGCGCGGCAGGGGAAAACACAGAACCCCACGAAACATGTGGGGAAAAAAGTATCCCCACCAGCCCTACATGGACGTGTTTCTGGTGCCGCTTCGTGATGCCGTCCTGAGTTCCGTCCCGCACTGTGTGCATGGCATTGTTCGCCTCTTTGTTTTTTCCTTTAGCTGGTGGCACGGCCTGCCCCTGCTTGTATGGCGTTCGACCCGCTTCGCGCGCCCGCGTACCACAAAAATATTTCCACCAGCCCATCCAGGAACGATGCCCACGGGGATTGGCCGTGTCGGGGTGACGTGGCATCATTTGGCAAGCTTCAGGAGCTTCCGTGGGCCAGAGGCTTCTCGGATGTCCCTCGGGGCCTGTTGGAGGCCTCTTGGGGCGTCTAAGGGCCTCCTGCCGGCTCATTGGGGCCTCCTGGGGCGCCTTTGGGGCCTCTGGAGACCTCCCGGAATGTCGTGTGGGCACGTTGGCGGTCTTCATATCCTCTGAGTGCGTCTTGGGCGCTTCTAGGAATATCTTAGGGCCTCTTGGGTGCCGCTTGGGAGCCTCTTGGGGTCGTCTTGGGGGCCCGTGTGGGGCCTGTTCGGCCAACTTTGGGAGTTTGGGTTTCTTGGTTTGTTTTGGGGCTAGCTTGGGCGTTCGCAACCCCAGACCCTTCCCAAGTTTGAGGCAGAGAATTGATGTCGCCTTTCGGGCTGTCCTGGAGGGCCTCTTGGAGGCTTATTGCAATGTTTCGAAGCCGTCTTGGGAGCATCTTGAGCGGTCTTAGGCAATCTTGGGCCGTGATGGCATCATTTAAGGGAGGGGTTATGGCTGATACCGATGACGACGAGGCGGGGGAGGGAATTGAGGTGAGGAACAAGGTGGGATCAATTAGGATCAATTAGGGAGGGAATAGGGGTGGTAGCGTAGTTCGATCAAGTAGGAGAAGTGCAGAAGTGGGCAACCGGCCAACCCGGCAAACCAGTTGATCTACCATTTTCCCACCATACAGCCAGTCCGACAAATTGTTCCATGCAGTGGCCAAAGAAAACTCCAATGGCATTGGGGGAACCCTTTTATATAAGTTTTCGTGCCTTTCGGTTGAACCTCGAAGCGGTAGAGGTCGTGGCGAAGTTCGCACTTCGTCGGGACCCCTGCTTGCGATCGAATTGCGTTCGCTTGAACCCTCATATTCGACAGCCCTGCCGTCCTTTTGAAACGATGATTGTACCACCCCTCTGAAGTTCGCGTCCCGCCCATGAGGTAGAAATCGCGTAATGTAGAGGATTGGCCGCGTCGTTATGTATTGTCGTTCTTCGGGGACGCCTGTCTGGAGGAAACTTGGTCAGGATCGTCGTTTTGGTTGGGCCGCTTTACTGCTTCGAACTGTCCGTTTATCGTTCGGGGAATAATTCTTTAGCGTCCGGAGATTGCGCCATAGTGGCTTGGGTAGATTTGAGCAACTTGTTGCGTCAGATGGCGCGTGCGCGCCCCCTTCTCCGTGTTGTCTGCCGCGCTGACGGCCCGCGTCAGCTACCCCGAAGGTCGCAGTGCCATCGTGCGTTGCACTCTTTCTCTTCCGTCGCCCACTTGGAAAGACTCGGCCAATTCGCAAGTCGGGAGGGGGCAACAGGCACAGTCGCAACGCTGGCGACAGTGGGGGGGTAGCAGCGGCAGGAGCAGGAACATTAGGATGTAAATTCTTGGAGGTCAAGCTCAGCATCGGCGCTGGTGTCCGCCTAATGCGGCCAAATCCTTCTCAGCCTGGCTTAGTACCGGGCCTAATTTGGCCAAGTCTGGCAAGGACCACTTTGGGCTCTGGAGGGCCTCTGGTTTTCGGGCTGTGATCGGGGAGCCTGTTCTTGGCCGGGGCTCGCCGTGGCCAGCTAAGCGCCTCTTCCGTTCCTTACCCAGTGTTCTTTATGGTAGCACGATGATTGCTAGTGCGCTTAACTAGTAGCCCCCCATCGTTCTCGTCAGGGCCTCTCAGAAGTGGTTCCCGGAGGAGCCGCAGCAGGCACAGCGTTGGGAAGGTGGGCAGTTGTTGCCGTTGCCGCCCGAGGGCTTCCCCCTGCCCTCGTCGCCCCGCCCCCCTAGGCCCCCAAGAGGATCTAAGAGGACCAAAAGAGGCCCCAAAGGGACCCCAAGAGGTTTATTTCACTGCCTCCAGGAGGCTGCCCAGAGGCTTCCCAAGAGGCCCGAAAAGGTATTCAAGAGGTCTCAGACCAACAACCCAGGCAGTGTGTCAGGATGGGCAGAGGGTCACTAGGAGGTGCACACGTGGACGCGGGGCACCCCGACCTGCTTCTGCACCAGACCTCTCGAGTCGTGCAACAATTTCGCGACGGACGGCTTTTGCCAGTTTTCGGCCTTTGGGAGACCTTGTCTGCCCTTTGGATCGTCGAGCAATGACTCGGGATGAACATCCGCTCCTGGGGAGTAGGTCGAGATTTCTGGGATTCTACGTTTGAAAGAATGATGGGGGTCCAGGGTCTGGGGCTGACGGTGCCGCTCTGGGGTTCGGCCTGGGGGGATGGGCCGCCTGTCCTCGTGGGTCGAGTGCAGGTTTCCCAGACCTTCAACGATATGATTTTGCCCACCAGTTGTTGTTCCTTGATTTCGACCCCTGGAATGCTGGATCTGGGGCGAAACATTTGCCTGGAGATGGGGTCGGGACCTCTGGAGCCGCGGATTGAAAACATGTCTTTCTGGATGTCTGCGTTTGCTGCAGGGCATTCTCTGGCCGGGGAGCTGCTCGGACGGCAGTTGGCTGGGGACGGGGAGTGGCTGGGGACAGGGAGTGGCTGGAGAGTCGGCGTCAATCCTTGCGCGCGCCCGCGAGGGCCGCGCTGTAACCCGCGCCCCGCAGGCAAGATCAGGAGGAAGGAGCAGATGGAGTCGAAGCTCACGCAGATCGAGAAGGAGTGACTTCGTCGTTGGCCTGGGAGGGGGAGGAAGGGGAATAGGACGGGGAGTGAGGAGGAGGAGGAGGAGGGTCAGGAGGAGGATGAGGAGGAGGATTAGGAGGAGGAGGAGGAGGAGGAAGCAAGTGGAGAAGGGATGAGTAGGTGTAGGGGGAGGGTTGAGCAGGAGTAGGGATGATGGAAGGGAAAGGGTTGAGGACGAGGGAGGAGGAGGAGGAGGAGGAGGAGGAGGACGAGGAAGATGAGGAAGAGGTGGAATGAGGGTCAGATCGAGTAGAAACTCACGCATATTGAGAAGGAGTGTTTTCAGGGAGGAGGTCTGAGGGGGCGGATCTTGTTTTGGGTAGTTGTCGCACTTCTCTGGAGGCGGGTGGGGCGGGCAGAGCGTCTTCGCCGCCGATGCCGTCGCCGTCGCCGTCGTCGTCGTCGTCGTCGTCATCGTCGTCGTCGAAGTGTGAGGATGAGGTGGAGGAGGAATATGGATCATGATAGCGGCGAGGGTGAGGAGGAGGAGGAGGAGGATGGAGGAAGGATAGGACGGAGGATCATGAGGATTAATTCTGGAGGATATTGAGGAAAATGATGATGTTGGAGGTGGGAGGTTGGGGATGATGAGGATGGACCTGGAGAAGAATCTTCGGAAACTCCCAGCGAATTTCTGAGGATGTCTTGGGTTTTTAAAGGTTTCGGGAGGAGGAGGACGAGGACGAGGATGAGGAGAAGGAGGAGGAGGAGGAGGAGGAGAAGGAGGAGCAGGAGGAGCAGGGGGAGGAATAGCCGGACGAGGAGGATGGGGAGAGGGTGGATGAAACATGGTCCAAATACCAGTCTCTGCCGGACAGGACTGCCCGCCCCAAGTCCCTCCTTCCCCTTCCCAACAATCTTCCTTATGCTCCTCTTTACCCTCCTCTGTTTCCTCCTCCACACATTCACCCCCTTTTATCCTCCTCTTCATTCTCTCTTCTCTCCCCCTCCCTTCCTTGCCCTTCCTCACATTGGGCCCTCCTTGCTCCTTTCTCTATCCTTCCCATCCTCCTCCTGCTCCTCTATGTCCTCATTTCTCTCTGTATAGCTCCCCCTTCTCTTCCCCACTTCCGTCTCTCTCCCTACCTTTTCCTCCACTCCTCTTTATCCGTCCACCTGACCCTCCCTTTTGCCATGTAATTCCCTCCCTTTGCTCTTCTGCTTCTTCCCCATTACCACTCGCGTCTCCTCCTCTCGTCTCCGTCGTCCACCCTTCCTGCTTGTAATTCCTCCCCCTCTTCTTCACTCAATACCCTCCCCGAGCCAACCTAGTATCCAAAGCAAGAGTATGGGTGCCCTTGGCCTAACACGTTCTGCCGTTGTGCTTAGATGCGTCTCTGCGCTCAAGAGTGGATGCAGCTGAGCAAAGTGAGGAGGAGGAGGAGAAGGAGGAGAGGAATGGGTGAATGACTGGGCAGGAAGAGAAGCTGATGGGGAGGATGTGCAGGCAGCAAGAGAAGCGGCAGGAAAATGAGGCGGAGTGGGGCGAGCATGAGAGCGCGTGGGGCAGGAGTCAAGTGGAGGATTCCGGAGGCAGGAGGACCAGGTTGCGGAGGAGCAGCAGGAGGAGGATTCGGAGCGCCAGGTGCAGGAGGCAGAGTCAAGTTTGCCGGATCGAAAGAGTCAGCGGGCATCATCCCTTACCACCTGCACTCACATATCATAACAACCAATGCTGGAATTGGCGCGCGTTCCCACCTAGCGAACGGAAGGCGCTCGCGCGCGGTCCCGCTCCTGACGACTTGGCGAGAAGGAGCAACCACGGTCTGCGGACGGGCGGTAATGGAATTGTTTTCTAGACATCATTGCGCGGCGGTGCGGCGAGAGCAGCATTCAACGTTCCCTGGCGTTGCCAAATGCCACAAAGCATGTGCCACGCCGACGCAGCACTGCCACTGTGACGCGACAATTCGCCCGTTATTTTCGACTCGGCGAGCGACTGTACGCGTGGTGCCCACGCCACTCTCAGGCGCAATCTGTACGGAGGTTTGGCGAGGGCGACAATTCGCCCGTTCGTGCGCAGCATCGCTCCCAACGACGGGTCGAGTTAAAAGATCATTTGCGCCGCGCGCAAAGGGGGGGCACTTTCAGACAGAATCTGCGCGGCGATAAGGCGAGAGTCGGCGGAAAGTACGTTTGCTGTCGCACGACCCCGTGCTAGACAAATGCGATGATCCTCGCTGCGCCCCAGCGGGAGCTTAACCCGGAGCGACATTTCAACCTTTCGCGCGCGATATGCGCTCCATATCTGGCACGCATACTGCACGTCGACGACATACCGCCCATATTGGAAGGACAAGCGTCGATGTCGTGTTGTTTTTTGGTTACGGGTGAGATAGAGCCACCTGTTGGATTACTTGGCCAATTGACGTGTTCCGTGGCAGAGTGGTTGCCTATGACAGTAGGGAAGGAGGGGTGGGAGAGTCAAGGGCAGTAGGAGGAGCCTCCGCTGGCTTCAAACATCGAGGCGATGGGTTTTCCAGCATCTCGGTCGCCATGGAGGCTGGTTTCGGGCCCTCAGCCACTCATGGGCAATGTTCGGGGGAAGCGGCTCAGGGTGGGATGCATCGACCCCCAATCGACCATTCATCGCCGATAGGAGCCGGAAAGCCCACACCGCTCAGGAACGTGTGGTTCCGTCATCTGGAACCTGTCACCGATCTGTCGGCGATGTATTGCCGATTAGAGCTCGATGTTTCTCTCCCTGAGCCGATCCCCCAATCGTCCCCTGGGGACGGGGTCGAAACGTTCTGGGCCGAATCCGTCGAAAAGGGTGGAGCCGCCGCTGAGTAGGAGGAGGAGGAGGAGGACGACGACGACGAGGCGTGCGCAACGTCACTGAGCATGCGCCACTGTGTCTCGACGGACCTCATGCCCCCGCCTCGGCGCCCGCCGCTACTCCTGCGCCTCCTATTCCTCGGGCTCCCCGCGGCTCCCTCTGCTCCTCCTCCTCCTCCTCCTCCTGCCCCCACTTACCTTCCTCATCCCATTTCTTGTCCCACTCCTCCAAATCCCCTTGCTCATCCTGCCCATCCCCCTGTGACTTGGCCTCCTGCCCCTCCTGCCCGCCGCCCTGCTGCACGTCCTCTTGCCCCTGCCCCTCCTTCCCATCACCACCTCGACTCACTGATTACCCTTGACGCCAGCTCGTGCCCTCGTGCTGGCCCCTGGGCTCTCGGGCGCGCCCCGCTCTCCCTCGAAGGACATCGAGAAGCTGAGTAAGAAGAACATCATCGTTCACAGCGAGTTCTAGGCGGGCGGAGGAGGAGGGCGGAGGAGGGCGATCGCAGAGGAGAGCGTACGGATCTGAAGGCGAAGCCATGGCCGAGATGCGGGAAGAGGAGGATCATGGAGGCTCCCCCCCCCTCCCCCACCCTCGCCAGGGGCAGCGTGCATCGACGCCCAGTCGCCCATCTATCGCCGAACGGGGCCCGGTAGCCCGCCCCGCCCGGGAGCGTACGGGTTCGGCATCGGGGGCGGATCGCCGATCTGTCGGCGGCGTATCGTCGATTCCAGGTCGCTGCCTCCTGCCCGAGACAGTCACCCCCCCCCTCGCCCCTCGCCGAGAATGGACAACACGCACGCTCTGGCGACTATTTTGTATGCCTTCGGCCAAGATTCTGCAACAGTGGCTGTGCCCTTGCTTGCTCAGCGAATCCGAGCAACCACAATAGAATCGAGGATGCGTGCGGCGAAACACCGCAGCCCCCTGCCTTGTGGAATCTCTCCTGTGGTCGAGCGTTGTGGTAAGGCCTCTGCCAAGCTATCGGACCATGTGTTCCCCCAACCGTTGTGGAAACCCTTCGGGGAAAACTTGGGGGAGGATGGCGGGGAAGATCAGGAGGAGGAGGCGGAGGAGGAGAAGGAGGAGGAGGAGGAGTAGGAGGATGCATCTTGGGAGCCTCTAGAGGCATTCTTGGGGCATCCTGGGAGCAGCTGGGCGGAGGCGTTTTGGGTGGCCTCCTTGGGTCTCTTCGGGGCCTTTGGGGGCTTGTCGGGGGCCACTGTGGCCGTCTTGGGGCATTCCTGGCCCGTCTGTCGCCGTCGGAAGCCGTGTTGGGGGCCTCTCTTGGCCGACTTAGGGCCCTCTTGGGGTGCTCCAGGGCCGTCTTGCAGGCCATCTTGGGCGTCTTGGAGGCCTCTTGGAGGCCCTTTTGGGGCCGTCTTGGAAGCCTGTTGGGCCGTTCTGGGGCCATCCTGGAGCCTCTTGGGCAATCTTGCAGAACATCACTGATTTTGGTCTCTTCGGGCCTTCCTGGAGGTCCTCTTGGAGGCCGTCTGAGGCAGTCTTCGACACCTCTTTGGGGGCCTCTTGTGCCGTCCCTGGGGCCATCTTGACGTCATTTGGGGCAGTCTCTTGGTGGGCTCCTGGCCCGTTGAAAGCCGTCGGAAGCCGTCTTGGGGGCCTCTCTGGCCCGACTTGGGGCCCTCATGAGGTGCTCTATGGCCGATTTTGGGCGTGTTGGTGGACTGTTGGGCCGTCTTTGGGCCCTCTTGGGACAGTCGTGGGGCCCTCTTGGGCCGTTCTGGGGCCATTCTGGGGCCTCTTCGGCGATCTTGGGGCGATCTTTGGCGGCTCTGGGGCCGTTTCGAGCCGTCGGCCGACAAAAAGCAAGTGCTAACGATTTCCAAGCACATAATTACAGACAGTCAATGGTTTAGGTTTCGTCGGGTCTTCCTGGAGGTCCTCTTCGAGGCCGTCTGGGGCCGTCTTGGGGGCCTCTTGGGCCGTTCTGGAACCATTTGGAGGCCTCTTGGGCAAGGGGGCGATCTTCAGGGGCCCTGGAGCGTCTCGGGCCGTCGGAAGGCCGACAAGAAGCAAACGCCAACATTTTTCAACCACCTCAAGAAAATAAATGATTCTGGCCTCTTCGGGCCTGCCTGGAGGCCCTCTTGGAGGCCTCTTGGGCCGTCTTGGAGTCCTCTTGGGTGCTTCCTGGCCGTCTGGGGCCATCTTGAGGCCATCTTGGGCCGTCTTTGTGGCCTCTTGGGCGGACTTCTAGGCATCTCGAGCCTTATTGAGCCCTCTTGGAGGCCATCTTGGAGTTGTCTGGACTGGGACAATTTGTGCAGCCAGGTCTTCGAGTGGGGCGGATGGACGCGTCGACGCCCCAGGGAGTTTTTTAACAAGGCGCTCCTGTGGCAAGACCACAGGGGGCGACGGATAGAATGGCCTTCCGCCCATCCCGCCACCGTGCCTTGGTTATGGGTCTGAGACCTCTTGTGTGGTCGTTGGTATTTCGTCGAGGCCTCTCGGAGGCCTCTGCAGGCAGTTTTGATGCATCTGGGGGCTGTTTTGAAGCCTCCAGTGGCATCTTGTGGGGGTATCCTGGGGCCTCTTGGAGGCCTCTCGTAGCCACTCCGGGGCCTCTTGTGGCCTCTTGGGGGCCCTTTCGGGCCTCCTTGGCGCTTCCTGGGCGCCTCGGGCGGAAGGCTAGGATTTTCGGTTGTGCCCCCCATCTTGTGGCCATTTGCCGGCTGTCTTGAGCCGTCTTGGACGCCTGTTGGCCCGTCTTGGGGCCTTTTGGGCCGTCTTGGGGCCCTCTTGGGGCCTGTGTGGCCGTCTTGGGACGGGCCTGGGGGCCTTTTTGGGCGTCTTGGAGCGTCGAACGCTAGAAAAGTGGCCCCGGGTGCCACACCTCCCCGCCACATCTCGGGGACGCTCCTGGTACCGCTCCCCTGGGCGTTCCGGGGAGCCTCCACAGCGCTCCAGGAGGGCCCAAGACGATTCCCAGGAACGCCCAGAATGCGAA